AAAAGATTAGCAACAGATGTTAGCTCAGGTGCCAATCTTTAAAAAAAAAAGTTCAGTTCAATTAAACAGTCGTGTCTCATTTTATGAGACAGTGAGGCAGGTGGGCTCCCAAAATTAGGTCTATGGTACAAGCAATCAGGTATTTAATAAGAGGCATTTCTATGGAAACAAAGAAAAATAATGATTAATGGTTACAGCAAATTATAAGCCAGTTTCTGAGCCCAGGAGGCAGCCACTCAAGAAGGTTTCTAGATGTCAGGGTCAAAGCATCTTTTGCAGTTTGAAATGTCTCTGATAATGTCATCAGGGGTTCAGGTAAACTTCCTGAGATGCTCACTCAGCAACAGGCATGAAGGCTGTTTAAACACAGGCTGTGTGGTGGTCTCTCAAATTCATAGCAAGTCATTCAGCTTCAGTTTGCAAAGCTTCAGGGAAGAAGGGCAGCTTTAGTTCTCAATGATTCCAAGTCAAAAGCTGGAGAAAAATTGTAAATGTTAGTTTGGAGAGTTGTAGTCAAATATTGGAGGAAACCAGAAGGAAATTTAGGATCCACTCCAGTTTTTACGTAAATAACAAAACTTCAAAGAAAATTAACAGCACTAGAATCTAATATCCACAAGTATGTATTATGGTTTCTACTGAAACATAATTTTTCTCTATAAAATCACCCTCATTTTGATCAAAGATAGTCAAATTAAGACTAATTTGCTTGCAAAATAAGTTTAGTTTCAATAAACTTGTCTCAGTTATTTACATAACTACAGCACAAATAATGATTGATGCTATAGGCTTTTAAAAATTTGCTTTGATGGAACTTTTCGTAAGGAATCTCGAGATTGAACTTTTAATAGCCTCTCAAGGCTAAGAAGTCAAGCCAAATATTCCACCTGCAATACCTATAGATTTTGGTCAGTTCTTCTCTTCGTAAGGCTCCCAACATTTCTTGAGGTTCTTGTACCTGCCAGGAAGTGACCTTTTTACTTACCTGGTTAGGCTGTCAGGAACCCTGTAAGTAAGGTACCAGGGGTGTGTGGGTTTTTTTTTTTTTTTTTCCTCCAAGGCACTTTATTGGCTTCATAAAATCAACCTTAATTCCTTAAAGCTGTTTGGTCATAGCTAAGTTTATGCACGTCTCTCTTAAACATGACATTCCAGACAAAGCCTTGGTAATATAACCATTGTTTCCAACTGTGTCCTGTTATAAGGAGAACAGATTCCTATTGAACTTAGGCAAATAAATATATTGCCATGAAAATAATAATACTGAGTTTCTGAATTCTGGAGGGATAAAGTAGAGAGGAAAAGTAATTGTTTCAATTCTGCTTACATTACAAAGGTATAATTCACCAAATTGCTGTAAGTCATAGATAGCTTAAGAGAAAAGAAGGAAAAAAATGTTCTTAGAACTGGAAAAACAAGAGATTAAAAAATAACATTTCAGACAAAAAGTCTCAAATTATAATCATCATCAGTTCATTTAGTCTGATGTAATTCTTGTTCTGTTTGAATCCAGTTTTTCTATTAGTTCTCTCAACTTTGCCTGATGATTGACGGTGATAGGGACAGTGATAATTCCAAGAAGTTTGTGAGGTTTTTGTTAAGGCTAGTATGACTTGCCCAGTGAAGTGGGTGTCTCAGTCACTGGAGATTGTGGAAGGTACACCCCAAGTGGGAAACACATTTTCTAACAGTTTTCTTTTCCATTGTGAGGTCATCAGCTTTGTGACAAGGGAAGTCTTCAACCCATCCAGAAAACACACATATGACAACAAGAACATATTGACAACTCATACGAAATGGCAGTTGAATGAAGACCAACTGAAAATGTTCAGAGGGCCCAGAGGGAGTTCTGAGGCCTCTGGGGACAGAAATAGCTTTTCCTATAGTGGGTGAAGGAATGTAAAAACTGAAAAATGGGGTTTTCCAGGAAGCTGGAAAGAACTAAGTGGCCATCTTGGGTTTCCCATAGCTCTGACTGTTCGTTTAGTTTACAGCTATTGTTTACTAATCTTAATTTTTCTGATTCAGCAGCCTGTTGCCATGTTACCAGGACATCAGGATGGCAAGAGTCTGGCAATGGCGGAGGGGTCAATTATTTTTGCAGAAGTATAATGAACTTCATCCACGTGTATCATAACCTTTATAGATTCTATTGTTGCTGCCTTTGCAGGAAAGTCAGCAAAGGTGGTTTTCTTATATTTAGATTCAGTCCTTTTGGTGAACCTCAATTTTGATGACAGCCAACATTTTATACCAGGACATATTGGACTTCCAGGAATTTCACATAATTTCTGGAACTCATAAAATAAACAGCTACGACATAAAGAAGGCTTAATGTAAATTTCTTATTTGATAATGCTTCCTGTGTAATTTAACATATCACATAAGCTTAATTAGTTTCATATCCCTCTCTTTATAAGAAGAAAGAGCAAATCTTTTGAAATGTTTCAGGAATCCTTGGAAAGAATCACAAAGTTAGCTAGAGGTCAAGACTGACTTCATTTAGAATTTGATTTTGGGAAGTTAGTCAAAAAATACCAAAGTGGGGCTGGCCAGATGGCACAGAGGTTAAGTTTGCATGTTCCACTTCAGTGCCCGGGGTTCACCAGTTCAGATCCCGGTGTGGACATGGCACTGCTTGGTAAGCTTTGCTGTGGCAGGCATCCCAGATATAAAGTAGAGGAAGATGGGCACAGATGTTAGCTCAGGGCCAGTCTCCCTCAGCAAAAAGAGGAGGATTGGCAGCAGATGTTAGCTCAGGGCTAATCTTCCTAAAAAAAAATCAAGTTTGAAAACACTTGCCTAAATAGGATCACAGATTATTATGAAACTTAATATCTAATTAATCAAAATGACAAAAAGATTTCAAAGACAAACATAGAAGGTTACATTGCTGCAAAACCTTAGCTCTTTTTAATAGAAAAGACAGCTTTTAACATAAAGCACAAAATAGTTCTGATAAAACACAAAAAGTTAAAGAAGAACCTTTCATAATCTCTTATCAGCAGACTAATATTCTAAGAATATTTTGTTCTTTTAAGAAATGAAAAGAAAATTAAGTTCCAGTTTTATACAAATACATTATTGATAGTAAAGCTTATTTTTAAAATTCTTAAGATATTTTAATTTTCGTTAACTTGACCACACAAGGTAAGACTTTCCTCTTTCTCTTTTTTGTTTTGTGTGTCTGTGTGTATGTGTGTGTGTGTATGTGTGTATGTGGAAGATTAGCCCTGAGCCAACATCTGTGCCAGTCTTCCTCTACTTTGTGTGTGGGACACCTCCACAGCGTGGCTGATGAGTGGAGTGGGTCCATGCCTGGGATCTGAGCCTGGGAACCCGGGCTGCTGACATGGCATGCATGGAACTTTAACCGCTCAGCCACAGGGCTGGCACCTCTTTCTCTCTCTCTCTCTTTTTTTTTTTAACAAGAAAACCATATTTTAATTTTGTGCCAGATTACTTTTGATATTAAAACTCATTCACTTAATTAAATTCATTCCAATTTTAGTTAGCACTGACCACACATAAAAGCCCTTCCCAAAGATTTCTTTTCTATAAACCTTCCATAACTTACTGCGTCCATTTTAGTTTGTCCCTTGTTCTTTTTTATTCAGAAATAACCAGCTTTATTTTGAGGCAATTAGGTTTTTTTCCTCATCAAAAATGCATCTCCATTCCTCATACCTTTTTTTAACCAAAAACATAAGTATTATTTTCCTTGCATAGAGATTTTTAAATTATTTTTAGTAGCTTTAATTACATATATCAATTAGAATTCTTTTTTTTTTTTAAGATTGGCCCTGAGCTAACATCTGTTGCCAATCTTCCTCTTTTTTTTTCCTCCCCAAAGGCCCAGTACATAGTTGTATATCCTAGTTATAAGTCATTCCAGTTCTGTGTGGGACACCGCCACAGCGTGGCTTGATGAGCAGTGTGTAGGTCCACGCCCAGGATGCAAATCGGTGAACTGCAGGCTGCGAAAGCTGAGCATGTGAACTTAACCACTCAGCCATGGGGCCAGCCCCTCCGTTAGAATTCTTAACCTTAGAAACCTTAATTTCTAGTAAAAACTAAGAAGTAAGCAATTGTGAACTGTATGTTATACCCATATTCTTTAGGTTGGCACATTTATGAATACATCTTATAATTTCTAGAAACATTTTTTCGTAGTGCAATCTTCCAGTAAAGCAGAAGACATGTTTTTTAATAGACCCAAATTCATCTTTTAGTATTTATGTAATAAGAAGCCAAAAGGAGATAAACCTCTGTTCAGTAATTAGTGTTTTATCATTTTATCTTACCTGGAAATGATCCAGATATTCAATGAACTTTTCATCATTCAACCTTAGCTAGTAAAATTCTAAAGTTTTAAGCCATCAAAAAGACTCGAAGTTATTTTTAAGTGCACATACCATTAAACATAATTGTTGCATCTAAAGATTCTTAGTGCATTAACATCTGTATAATTCATTTGTTCTTAATAATTATACTTAGATTATTCATAAACTTCATAAGACATTAAAGAAGTAAGCCATCATCTCAAGTTATTTTTTTTGTTGACAAATTTTGTAATGGAGTTAATGTGAGCTTATTTGACTAATAGCCCAGGTAGAATGAAAGTTGCATGTAATACTGATAACTCTGAAGACATACCTATTTTAATTAGTCAACAAACTTAAACAAGCTTTCATTTACCAAAATCTATTTTGTATCATGTTAACTTGGAAAACATTTGGATTAGTTTCTATTATATTTATAAATAATTTATATAAGCACTTACTTTGTTACTTAGAGCTCTTTAGAAATTAATTTTGAGAATACCATGGGGAGGTAGAAAAATACTTTATCTATAGCATACATAGAGAGACAGACAGACAGACACAACAGATCTTATAGCTTTTATTTTAAAATTTCAGCCATAGGTGTAATACAAAACTCACTAGTTTATAAATAATTGTGTCTCTAGCAGATGGAACAAATTAAGGTTACCTATTTAGAAGTGGCTTTTTTTTTTTTTTTTTGGTTAATATTTGTGGAGAAGACTTTTAAGATTTATATTTGCCTTAGACAAGGAGGCTGTGAGTTAGATTTGGGGCAAAAGAGCCTCTCCAGCAGCCTGCATTTAAAATGAAACATTTTTCCCTTTTTTTTTTTTTTTTTTAAACTTCAGACTTTTCTGACTGAGCTGGCCTGGTAGTCTCAGGAAATTGCGGGCTGTTATCTTCTGGGGTGTTTACATTCCAGACAGGGTAAAATTTACAACCTTAAAGGACAGAGAAAATAATGCAAGTTTTTTCCTAGGAGTTTTGGGGTAATTTTTCCTTCAGTCTTAGGAATTGGAGCTGATCTAAATAAGAGTTCCCAGAAATGTTTGTCTTTTGAGATAAATTGGAGAGGTTTTAGGATTGATGAAAAGGAATGGGTGGAATCTGAACTGCTTTTAGAGCTGCATTTTCCGTTTTGCAAAGATTTGCAAGATAAGGACAGTTGCTCTCAGTTCCTCAGAAATTGGGTTGTAACTTAAATGACATCATAGGTTGATCTACCCATCCAATTACATTATCCCTAATTTGTTTTTTTTCCTCTGGGTACATAGTTTTATTTTAACTTGGGAAGAAGGCCTTTAAAAAAATCCTATCAGGCTCCAAATATCAGCTTTCAATTTGGCCAATTTTTAACCACAGAACTACTGGGGGAAAAAATCCTTGTAAATATCTTGTCAGTTTTCAACTGGGATAAACATTTCTGGTAGTGTTAAACAACTCCATGGACCTAAGAGGTGTCCATAAAGGTTATTACTTTTCCAAGATCCAGAGTCATTCTCAAAGATAACTCAAAGAAAGGACTGTCAGCTTGCATGTCCCAGGCAGGCAGAAAGTTAAGTCAAGCTCCTAGGACACAAAGTGAGACAGGCAGGAAGGTGATAGTTATCCCTGGGAGAGAAAGGGTCAGTAACCGGCGAGTCTGGGTTTGGAAAGGAAGGAACAACATGAAATGTTCTCCTCTCTTGACTGGGCGTCAGAGAATGGCCATTGAGTGGAGCTCAAAGGGCTGTTGTCCAGGGTGCCTGAATTCCCCAGCAAGGGGTTCTAGGATATATCAGCAAAGGATATTACACAGGAAGGCCTGAAGCTGGCAGACCCTGATTATAGAGCCCAGCAAAGCGAGCTTTACTGCCAGCCCTGGGTGCTTCTGTTAAATTCATTTTCTGGCTTTTTCTATTTACGTGAGTAACCTATGTACTCGTAGAGATTAGGCTGGGGTGCTCTCTGTAAATCTTGAAGGCAAAGGAAGCTAAAATAGGCAGATGGGCCCGGATTTTAAGAAAGAGATTTTACGTTGGGTTTTTGTACTAAATATAAATGTTTTGTTCTCTCATCTTGTTAGGGAGCCCCAAAGTCTAGCTGTTATATACTTTCCCTTTTTCTGAAGTGATGGACAGTTGTACTTCCAATGTCCTGATGTGTTGTTTTGTTTGTTTGTTTGTTTTTTACAATATCTGCAAATGTCTGCAGGTAAATAAGGGGTCTGAGTGGACTTTGGTTTCTGTCCTAATTTCTGTCTTTCCCTCTTAAGTGAGTCTCAATGCTAGCCATTATACCAATATGAGTGCTCTCTAAAAAAATTTTTTTCCAACTTAGAAGTTTTTCTAGTTTAAAGGATCCATCATTTGTCCATTGACAAGTAGGATTAGCATCTTAACAGTGACTCAAACCAATAAGCCTTTTTTTTTTTTTTTCCTGCTGAAGGAATCTTTTTATTTATGGCACCAGCACAGGCCTGGCACACAGTATGATACTTAACAGATGCTGAATGTGTGAATGCTGTTTCATATACATTATAAGAAACTGCATTAAAAGGCTTTTTTTCCTTGTCCTTTGGCCTTAAAGAAAATGCATGTTATTTTTATTGGAATAAAACCTATTCAGAACTAAATATTTGCTATTTGAAAACTTTGAACAACAAAAATGTCATGTTTTTACAACTTATTACCAGATGCTGTGGTCCAGGCTACCTTATCATTAGAAAAAAGATAACATTTCAAAATACAAGGAAAACACTTAAGAGATGAAAGAACTCTTACAACTTACACAATCATTAGCCAAGGAAGGCTGGAGCCTTAACGTTTACAGCTCAGTTCTCCAAGGATCTGACCCAAAGTGAAGATCTCTAAAACTCATTATGTGCTCTCAGCTCGTCTATCAACAAGCCTTTTAATGGCTTAACCATGGAAGCAAGAGGTGTCCCCAAAGGAGAGCATGAAGGATGCCGTCCTCACCACATCCAGAGAGTCCCCTGCCAGAGTTAGCCTGAGAACCATGAGGGGCCCTGTTTTAAGCAGCTATTCCAAAACACAGGAAAGCACATTTTTCCATTTTTGAACAGAATAGGGTGTTTAGATTCCCCGAGCTTGGACCCACCGTCTACTTGGTTGCGTGCCAGATGCAGGTGCATCCTCCAGCTGTGGAGACTGAAGATCATCTCTGGAGGAGAAGATCAGCAAAATCAAGAGTACTCGTCCACAAAACGAGTTTCACAAATATTTTCTCCTGCTAATCTAAATTTAGAGAAAAAGAAATTCGCGCCCCTTTCATTCCCATCAGACTCTGCAGACAGAGATCTGGGAGGCTGACATGGTAAGAAGGCTTACCTTCTTGATGGCTTGTGTAGATGTCCAGGATCTTTTAGCTGCAGCAGCCTCGGGGAGAAAGCAGTTTCTCAGCTGGTGATTCTCCTGGCTGGGTCACCGAAACTGTCGGAGTGCGGGAAATTCTCCCCTTCTTGCGCTCTTACGGCTAGACTAGTAATAAAATTGATGCAAGACCAGATTAATAGGAGAAAAACTCAGTTTAATATGTATGTATTGGAGATCATAGAAAAATGATAGAGAATGAACAAAGGCAGTATATATATATATATATATTTTACACAAAGAAGCAATAAATTTAAGGAATGACGGGACAGAGAAACTAAGGTTTGAGCTATGTAATTTGTGACGAATTTAAGCAGAGTTTAGGTTTGAGGTGTAAATTAGCAAGACTTGTTTATATAGGCTTCTCAACCCTGAATTTGTAGCTTGGTGATAAGGATGCAAGAAGAGTACGTTTCGTGTGGGAGATCTCAGGAACAGAGACAGGAGGGTCAGAATGCCCTTTTTGCTTTTCAAGTAACTTTAATTCAAAATAATCAATGCGCTCTTGTGGGATGTTTTGAGGTGGCCTGCCCTGGGCCCCAACGATAGAAATTGTGACGTCCCATAGCATTTAACATAGCAAAGGAGAGCCCACGCAGGAGGGGGTTCTGGGAAAGATGAGTTGATGGTCCTGCAGTAAGAGTTTAACAAAAAGTTTCTTCAGATACAAGGCCAAAGATGCAGTCACTACTTGCAAGGGGGCTGCCAAGTTTCCATCGCCACAGAACATCTTCCTTCAATATCTTGTTGCCCTTGCCTTAGAGTCCTTTCTGAAGTTTTGTTTCCTTGGGTGAGAGCTTTGTCCTCTGGTGTAATGTGGAAACAGAGGGGAGACACTGGTTGTTGCAGATATTAGTCGTTTAATGTAAATTGATGGCTGAAATCCTTTCCAGCTAGGACAGGAGAAGCCAAGGAAACAATGGAGAGGAATCAGGGCCACTGTCCCCACCGCACTTTTCTCAGGACCATACTGTAGCAGGGGAGATGGAGGCTAATTAATTCAAAATGAAATAAGCTCAAAAATCTTATTTCAAGAGAGGAACTCCTTTCTTCAAAGTGTTTTCTTTGAACAATCAGTCACCCCTGCCATCTGCTGGGCTTGTGGTAACAGAGCAATGCAATAGGATCTAGCCAGACATTTTCTCTCAGCTGAGGTAGCTTTGTCACTGAGAAGATGCAACACGAGGCATTCATGACTGTTCAGTTGTCAGGAGAAAGATCTTCTAAGGGATGAGGTCATCCTGCAGGCGGTGCTCAAAGTCTAGAATCTAGGCCTGCAACTTGGGTGCAGCAGGTGGTAATATATGTACAAAGGTAACCAGTTTTTTCTATAACAAAGCCCATGAATTTTACGTTAGCTGCTTCCCTCAGTTACCGCCTCCTTCCCTCAGCGGATGGTAAGGAAAGTTGAGCAGCCTTCCCTGGACTGGACACTGATTTAAACTATTCTTGCCATTTAAACTTCAATAACATTTTTTCCTATCATGAATCCGTGTAACTAGGATGTTTTCTTATCTCTTCTTGGACAGGAAGGAATAATGATGGCTCTTTAGTGGAATCTTGATGAGCACTCAGGACTGTATCTTAACCTTCCTTCACTTACTGTCCTTCTCTTTAAAATATGAATTTAAAACTCTAAAAAATCTTTAAATCAAGTGTTTACAATCAACTTAGAGAACAGTAAACTTATTCTCTTCAAAGTACACACAATTAAGAGTACCATGGCTCAATGGAGAGAGTTAGAAAAGTTACAAAAGCCACAGACTTACAAAATTGGGTCCAGAGTGGTATCCTACTATGGATCAACTAAAGTAGGACAAATATTTTATAAAAAATGCTTTCTTTCTGCATGTTAAGGTATGCGTTCTTGTTTCTTTTAAGTGTGCTTGCTATTAGCCTAACACAGAGCTTCCGTGAGACTTTGTGCAAAGAGGTGGGGCCTGACTAGAAGCTCGAATGGCCTCTCACCCTGCACAGGGTGCCTGCCTGCCACCGTGTATCCCGTTGGTGTGATGTGACGTTCTATTTGTTTTTTGTCTGTCTGTTTTGGGAACGGTCTAGGATGACCTCATCCGGCCCAGGTCACCCCTGCCCAGCTCAATTGTGCCTTTCGATGTGTTCATGCCTAATTCATCCACCCCGGAGACCGCATTTAGTTCACTTCTTGAGGAGGTCGAAGAAGCATCTGGTGATTTCTCATCGGTGGATCTTAGCTTCCTATCGGATGAACTTACCCAAGAAAATAAAGACCCAGCTGTCGCTAGAAGCAAGCGTGAAATTGAAGAAAGTTGTAAAACTCCAAGGCAGCCATTACCCAGCGAACAGGACGCTGGCCCGGATCTAAACAGCAGGTTGTCAAATTCCCATTCTCATCTGCACCCTGGTGATGCTGACTCGGTCCAGCCCTCTCTTGAGAAATCAACCTTCTTGCCTCTGGCATCCATAACTCCCATGACACCAATGACCTCTGTTTCAGAATGTTCTGGAACTGTGCCTCAACTACAGTAAGTTTTGGGGTGTTGTAAAATTATGCGTCTGGGTGTGCATTTTATATTCCTGAATGTGATGACCACTAATTTTAGAATAGTGTAAGGGAGAGAATTTCGGATTCCATTCTTCTTTGTTTTATGAGTTCTTAACCAAACTGTCTAAAGCCATAATCCATTATCTGTAAAATGAAGTGCTAATACTTGATCTCCTAAGAGGGAGTTAAGAGTTGATACCCACATTCTCGAAGGATTGTATTGTTTATACTAAAGCACTGAAGCGGCTGAAAATTGTGGTTAGGGTTAGATGAACACAAAGAATAAAAAGATGGAAACTTGAATTTGATTTGCAAGTTGACATATGGCACTTTCTATTTTTGAGGCATAATTTTGAAACAGATGTCTAATGTAATTTTAAAAGTTTTAAAATTTTAATTTTCGTCATCTAGTGAAATTTTAGAAACAGCTATTTTAGTGCTTTTTGGATTTTTACATTTTGCTAGGGACCGTGTTACTATGTATCCACATTTAGAATAATTCTCCCCCTAGGAAGTCACCAAGAAACAACCTAGGAAATGAGGAAGTTAATGTTTTAATTCTTTTTTACTTTTTATATCTGATATAGTTTTCTAAATTGACTTACTTCTTTAGGAATGTAGTTTCCACTGCAAACCTGGCCTGTAAACTGGATCTGAAGAAAATAGCTTTGCAAGCAAGAAATGCAGAATATAACCCAAAGGTAAGAGTTCTCGGTTTTCCAACAATTAGCTGCTTTTTAGATTTACTTTCCTCATATGATCATGATATTGGCCCATTCCTTTGTTTACATATATTTTTTTAAAAATTTGTTAGTAAAAAGCTTTTGGCAACTCAAAAGGTTAATTGCCTCATTCTGTTTTGAAGTTTTGAAAAATATTCTCATTCTCTGTGCTGAATAAAGCAGTGACTGAGCAGCTCTTACAAGTGGAGATGTTCCCCTTGTCATCCCAAAAGAATTCCCCATATTATGATTTTCAGCCTGACTATGGAGATGCTAACTTTCTTAAAACGTTGTCATAATTCTGGAAATAATTTTTCCAAGTGTTGTCCCATCTAGCTGACGCTTGTTTCCACTTATAGTTTCTCTTATTTGAGAAAGATTAAGTGTAAAGTTCAAGCTTCTTTTTTTTTCCTGCTTTATCTCTCCAAATCCCCCCTGGTACATAGTTGTAGATCTTAGTTGCAGGTCCTTCTAGTTGTGGGATGTGGGACGCCGCCTCAACATGGCCTGACGAGCAGTGCCATGTCCACGCCCAGGATCCGAACCCTGGGCCGCTGCAGAGGAGCTCGTGAACTTAACCACTCGGCCATGGGGCCGGCCCCTAAAGTTCAAGCTTCTACTTACTAATATAAGACTTTTTTCCCCCCAAAGTGAAATAAGATCTAGTCTATCTTGTGTCTTTCCAAGGCCAGGCATCCCATTTTCAGTGGTCTATTCACCTAGGAAGTAGACTTGTTAATTCGATCAACATTTCATGATTTGGTGGCTCTGTGCTTAGGAGTACAAAGATGAATAAGGTCTGGTCCTCACTGGGAAAAAGTTCACTGTCTTGGGTGATGTAGGGATTCATGAATTTAGATGACAAAGATCATATTAGTAGGCATCCAGAGGACTTTGCCAGTATCACCTATTTATGGATTAGGTGGCTGTTTTCCTGATGTGGTAGTGTTGTTACTGACATCTGAATTTAAATCTTACCTGAATGTTACCCCAGTGCAATGTAGCTTTCCTTTTCGTATTTCCTATAGCTGCCTATGTTGAGAACAGGAACACAGTGATGAGCTAGGATTCTTATGGCTGCAGCAATGATTGACCACACTGCTGAGCAATCTGCATTTTACGTATATTTTATTCTGCATCATCCTTAGCTCTCCCCTCATTTTATTTTGATGTACTGGATATGTCCAAACTTGGACTTGACAGCCAAAGAAATTCTGGCTTGGCGCTTAACTTACCTTAAGAATTGGACAAAGAGATTACCAGGTGAGAGTGCTATCTTTTTAGGAAACACTTGGAAAACATTAAGAGGACTGGACCAACTCTGCAGGTTCTTTTCCTGTCTGTTAACGCTTCAGATCTGAAATTGCCAGCCTGTGGAGTGATCTATGGTCCTGTGGAGTAGCTTTGGCCCAGGGAACTGGTGGTCTCGCACAGTGCCAACCCCAGTTTCCACCCCAGCTTTCTGGGGGAAAGAAGGGAAGGGAAAGGAAGTATCTGTGTAGGACCAGTAGGAGAAGCAGGTCATTCAGTCATATGTCAGTGTGGTGGTGGGCCAGTAGCTCTCAGCCTTCCCCTGCTCAGCACCACCTGGAGGCCTTGCCGATGCTGCTGGTCTGAGGACCACACTTGGAGAAGTACGGCAGGCAAGAACTTAACAAATCAACTTTTTGTCCTTCATCCTCAGCATGCCTATCAATATATATATTCTATTCTATATTTTGGCTGCTTTTTAGTACGCTCTAGAGTCTCGGTGAGCTTCTAGCAAACTTCATACTTTTTTTTCCCCCAACGATTCTTTGAAAGAAAAAGGAAGTATTTCAAAGTAAAAAGCACAAAGTCAGGTTAGTGGTGATTTTAAATCT